AAGATACCTCTCTACTTATAGGGATAAAATATAAATACTATAATAGATAGAAATAATAATAATAAAGAATAATCGCATAAATTATATAATAGTTCTATATACTTAAGAAAGACCTTAAAGAAATAAAAAAGGATAACCCAGAAAAAAAATAACTTAAGAATATACTATAGAAATATAAGATTTATAAGAAACTCTTCGCGGAAGAACTTAAGATAAGTCTACTAGAGTATATCTTATATAACCTTAAGATTAAGTTTATTAATAGGAAGTAATCTAGCTTTAGTAAACTCTACTTACTTAATAAAGCGTAACTTCTAATATTAAAGGAATATATTAAAGATATAATATAGAAAAGATATATTAGGGAAAGTAAGTTATCTATTAGATACCTTATTATATTTATTCTAAAAAAGAATAAAAAGCTCTAACTTTATATTAATTTTAGAATATTTAATACTATTATAATTAAGGATTATATATCGCTACCTCTTATTAGCGAGTTAAAGGATTGATTTTTTAGGATAAAGTATTTTACCGCACTTAACCTTAAAGAAGCCTATAACCTTATTTGGATTAAAGAAAGATATAAATAAAAAACCGCTTTTTATACTAAGTATAGACTATTTAAGTACCTTATTATGCCTTTTAGACTTATTAATATACCTACTATATTCTAATAAATAATTAATAATATACTATAAGAATATCTAGATATATTTATTATATATTACCTAGATAATATCCTTATTTTCTCTAGAATAGAAGAAGAATATATAGAATATATCTATAAGGTATTATAGATACTATAAAATACTAATTTATTAATAAAACCTAAGAAAAGTAAATTCTATACCTTAGAAGTAGAATTCCTTGGATATATTATCTCTTATAATAAGATATATATAGATCCTAAGAAAATCTTAGTAGTTAGAGACTAAAAGGAACTAATTAATATTAAAGAAATATAAGCTTTCCTTAGATTTACTAATTACTATTATAAGTTTCTTAAGGTATTTAGGAAAATAACTATACTATTAATAGAGCTTATAAAGAAAGATAAGATCTTTATATTTAGGAATAAGGCTAAAGATACCTTTGATAAGATTAAGGAACTTATCCTAAGTAAACTAATACTTAAGATATTTAACTTATCTTAATAAATTAAACTTAAAATAGATACCTTAGACTTTATACTAGGTGCCTAGATTAGATAATAAGATAATAAAGGATAATTATATTTAATTGTATTTTACTCCTATAAGCTATATAGAGTAGAACTTAATTACTTTATCTACGATAAAGAATTTCTTGTAATTATTAATATATTTAAGGAATTTTAATATTACCTCCTAGGAAGCTAATATTAGATTAAGGTCTATATAGACTATAAGAATATTTCTTACTTTATAATAACCTAAGAACTTAGCGGATAATAACTATAATACGCCGAATACCTCTTAGAATTTAACTATATTATTATCTATATTAAAGGATTAGAAAATAATAGGGTAAATATTATTAGCTGAAGGCCCGACCTAGATATAAGAAAAATCTAAACTAAGGAATAACTATTATACTTTATACCTAAAGGATACCTATAATAATAAACTATTATATATATTAAATAATAGTAATACCTAAATATAACTTATATAATAAAATAAAGTAATTTATTCCTTATGAAGATCCTAGAATATAATAAATAACTCTTAGATAATAGAAAAATAAATAAGCGATAAATACTAAAGGAATTACGATATAACCTTATACGCGAAATACATAGTTACTAGTTATATAGATACTAAGGAATTAATAAAACCCTAGAATAGGTTAAGATAACTTATATTTTTCCTAGTATAAAGAAAATTATTATAATAATTATTAATTAATATGACCTTTACGTAAAAACTAAGGCACGACGCTATAAGCTATATAGCAAACTATAGCCCTTACTAGTATCTTAGCTACTATAGGAAGCTATTATAATAGATTTTATTATAAAATTACCCCTATTAGAAGAACTAGCTATTAGAAACTTCTATAATAATATTCTTATTATTATAGATAGACTTATAAAATTTTCTTACTTTATACCCTATAGAGAATTAATAATAACTAAAGAATTCGCCTACCTTTTCTACTTTTATATTACTAAGATATATAGTATCTTACTTAAAATTATTATAGATAGAGGACTATTATTTGCTTTAAAATTCTAGTAAAGCCTTATAGGATACTTAGGGATTAACTATAAACTCTCTATTATATACTATAAGGAAATAAATAGATAAACTAAACGCATAAATTAAATACTAGAATAATACCTTTAATACTATATTAATTATAAATAAACTAACTAGGTTAAAAAGCTATTAGCTACTTAATTAGCCTATAATATAGCCATAAATAAAAGCATAAAGATTATATTAGCCTATGCTAATTTTAGCTTTATGCTAGATATATATTAATAAATATAAGATATTATTATTAATCCTAAGGTAATCCTTACTAGCGATTAGCTAAAGAATCTATATAAAGAAATAAGAATAGAACTTAAATTTATTAGAAATAGAATAATAAACTATATTAATAAGAAAAGAATTAAGGGACTAATCTTCTCGGAGGGAGATATAGTCTACCTTATAATAAAAAATATCGAAATAAAATAATAAAATAAAAAGCTTAACTATAAATATATTAGACTATATAAAATTAAATAAAAAATCTCGAAATATAACTATAAACTAGACTTACTACCTAAAGTTAAGCTTTATTTAATCTTTTATATTTTATTACTTAAATTAATATAAAATATTATCTAAGTTAAAACTAATAATAAACCGGAAACTAAAGTTAATAGATTAGAAGAATATATTATAGAAGCTATCCTTAATATAAATAAAATCAATAGAAAAATAATATACCTTATTAAATAAAAGAACTATCTCGACTCTAAGAATATATAAGAACTACTAGAATACCTTATTAGCGTATAATACCTACTATAGGATTTTTATTAATAACTCCGGAAGGAAAAGAATTAATATCGAAGTTAAGAATAGCCGATTAGTTAATAATATTAATAGCCCTAAAGGACTAAGTATTAATAATAGCCTTAGCCTCCCGGCGATCTAACTCCTCTAACTCATCTAGAGAATTTAACCCCCGATATATTATCTTTATACCCCGCTTATAGATCTATTTCTTCTAGCGACGAAGGCATATTAAACGGGATAGTCGCTTATTTATTTGCTACTAAAGAGTAATTAATTCCTCTTTTACTTTCTCCTCCTTAAGTTTAAGATAATACTTCTCGGCTACTAAGTATAACGCTATAAAAAACATTAATAAGAAGGAGGCAATAGACGCGAAAACCATACTTACTAGTAGAAACTAATATACCCGAGCTATTATAAGTATAACTATAATAAATATACTCTAAATAATAAGAAATACCCTTAAGTATCTTATACTTTAAGTACTTTTAGGAATAATAAGAATAAGGTATAACTTTAAAGCCTATTTCTTTAATAAGCTCAAAAAGATAATAATAATACGCGGCGGAATAAGACCTTACTTTTAATATATTATTAATATTATAGAAAAATGTTTATAAGGGAAGGTTTAATAAACTAAGGGAAATTAAGATAGCTAACTTTAAAGGCCTTAAGGATAAGACTAATAAAGGGGAGATATTATATTATGGCCTAATATATACCTATTATATATATAAAGCGGGACCCTATAACTCCTTATTAATTAAATAAGTAATTACCCTTAATACTAAATAATTACGGTAATTACCTTATTAATTACCCTAATTACTTATATAATTACTATGATTAGGATTAATAGACGGAGTGATTATAACCGATACCTAAAGTATATAGGATATACTTATTGCACTTTCTTATATAATAGCTACCTTAGCTATTAATATAACTTAGTTATACTTAATACCCTTAAGCATATTACTAGACGTGACTTATACCCTTGTTTAAGATAACGCTAATAATCCCCTGCTAATATAAACCCAGTACGACCGGTTTATCCCTTGGAATATACCACACCGTCACAGTAGTAGGCTGTCGATACATTCTTAAGTAAGATCTCCTTGAGTGCGTTAAGGCTTCGCGAGGGTCACGACAGGGGGTTCGGTCCAATTAAAATAGCGAAAATTAGAGGTACTTTAATCCCCACCTATTTTCTATAGTAATAGAAGTCCCAACAATCTTGTGAGTTATAAATCGCAACATCACATTGCTTGCAGCCGTAAGACGACCTCTTCAGCCCCTTCCTTTTCGTATTGCCGTTGACGCCGGCCAATGGCTTCCTCTTACTTCGTGACCTAATTTGACCGCAGCGGAGTCCTTGTCAAGCAAGGCAAGGGCTGTTTTCCCTCTTTTGACGCGTTCATGCAACTCCATAGGCGTATTTTCGTCGCCAGCTCGAAATCGCTGCCTAGAATGACCAGTCCAATAAGCCGCAATAAGGTCATCTATAAGGCGGCCTCGCCAGTCACTCTAAGACCGTATTTTCTTCCACTTTGGCTGCCCATGAAGCTGAAGAAGATAGCTATTGATGAGGGCTGTGTCAAGAAGGAAGGTCCAAGCTATAGCCTGCCAAAGGCCACGACGAATTGAGTACTATAGCCCCGTGATGCCCTCAGTTGGTCGCCACGGTCCACATGGTTCATCTCATCGTTGTACGTAGCGGCGATAGAAGGGATCGCAAAGGTCTTGACGGCTTCGTCACCAAAAAAACGCTGTATTGGCCGTGCGCGGGCTTAATCTGTATTTGGCCTCTTCCTCTTCCGTATGACAAGCTCGTCGCCTTTGAATACAGTAGATAAGAGGAGCACGAGGGCGTTATCCTTCCACGCGATTAGGTTGACCTAGGGAAGAGCAAGTCAAATTAGTAGGGGTTTTATAGGTAAATTTGACTTGGCTTGCTACCTTATTATCAACTGTTAGAGCCATTCTGACCTCATTGAACTGAAGGAGCCTCCGGCCGGCAGAATCATCGTCTTTGAGCTTCGCGAAGGGGGCGTAGATACCACAGTTGCGGCGGGCCGTGCCTGTGGCCCCGTGGCCGTACTGACGGAGGCTTCTAAAGAGGTTAGCTGATGAGAAGAGGTTATCAATAAAGACGTGATATATGGCTTTTGGCAGCTTATTAATAAGGGCAATAACCACGCTTTGTGTCGGGTTGAGGCGTGTAGAAAGTCGCCTTCTTCTCTGAGATCGAAGCCGCGTTACGAGGCTAACTGGACCGTATCTCTTCTTCGGCTCGTGCCAAAGCCACCGCAAGAAGAGGCCTTTTTGCGCCGTGGCCCAGATCTTGAAGCCCACGGGGATAGGCTTATTTGGGACTCGTATTGTCTGGTATGACCTTCCTGTATAGCGGTCAAAAGTCATGACTTTGAGGATTGGATGGTCGGAACCTTGGTGCCCTAGCCGGGAAGTCTTCCAATGGTCTCGGATTGTGATTTCCTTATGAATTCCTATATAAATTAGAAGCGCAAGCCATAGATATACCTCTGGCACGGTGGTTGGCTTCCAACTGCGAATTCGAGCCCTTGGCTTCCAGCTGCGACTGCGAAGCAAATGATCAATCCATTCATTCGTATATTTAACCCATTTTGCGACTAGGAAATAAGGCACAAAGTGATGGAAGAGGTCAAGAGGCTGCTGGGGCAGCTCTTTGACCTCGAGGTCGCGATCGGGCACTATCACCGGGAGGAAATTGGTGCCGCAGTGTCGCAGGGTAGGCATGATCTTCGCGGCCTCATGAAATAACTACGTTAGTAATCTAGCCGTATGCTATAAGTAGCTCTGTAGGATGGAGTACCCCGCACAAGAGACAACCTCAGACAACAATCAATCAACACACTGCTGCTGCTCATTATCGTTTACCTGATCTCTTGATTCTTTCAGCACGCTCAGTGCGACACGCAGCTAGGGACCGGGTTAAAGACAGGTCGGCAGGTGAAATCGGCTGGCTGCTCGCGGCGGCTATTCTCTTCTGTAATTATAATAATACTTGGATCAGAGGCACTCAGTGCCTGACTAGGGATTGATTGAGAGCTCATAAGTATCTTCAAAAAGATTTATATGGTGTTTTGGGTGGAAATAATTAATGGAGCACTATGCCGTACCCCTCTCGTACCTACGTCATGACTAAGGTCATATGGGTCAAGTAACCTCACGAAGCCTTAACGCACTCAAGGAGATAAATTAATGCACTTACTGATCCGATGCACTTGTGTCAAATGTGACAGCCTGCCAGTTGCCCACAAATGGTATCACGTGACTATAAAATACTACGTCACCCCATGCACATTGGAGCGGTGATGGGGTGCATGGGGTAGCCTCAGCCGAAGGCTGTGTGTCCGCGGGCCGGGAAGCTACCGGTATTACTACTACTGCATTATCTATGTACTGATCCACTGCCATGGCCATTCTTGGTATTATGTGACACGTACGTATTCCGTGTGAGCACCTATCGTTTCCTAAGCTCCTGATCCCTCATCTTCATCTTTATGCCATCCGGGGGAGACCCGTAGACCAGGTGATTACGATCAAATGGTGCATCCAACATCAGACCCTCGAGCGTTTTCACGCGAGAGACAGCCACGTAGCTTAAACCAGTCTGAAAGTCCCGGCAGGACAGATCTGTAACTATCATGTCTTCGGGGATGCTTTGTGACTTGTGCACGGTAATTGCGTAGCATATGATGAACCAGCGCTCTTGGCATCTACTGCAGTATTGCATCTGGTCATTGTCAAGCGTGGTCCAGAACTCGCGAAGGATGGCCTTGTCGCAGTCGGCCAAGGCGCAAGCGTTGAGGTCTCCATTCCACACCGGATCTTGTGCGTGGAATACCGCCGATTGTTTAGGTGAAATCATCACTGGACTCCGATACCGTCGCGGCGGCCGCGGAGGTTGAGCTTGCGTCTGAGATTTTCTCGGCCGCCCTCCCGTACCAGGGGCAGGACCACGACGACCACGACGACCATGAGATGGCTGTGCGGAAGGCTGCCTCGAGCAACGGCGAAGAGGGCTTTTGCCCACCGTGTCATCGTCTTTCTCGTCGTTCTCGTCTTCGTCCCCTGGTTCGGAATCGCACTCTACCCCTAATTGCTCGAGATACCTCCGAGGCCGAGCAGGCGAGAGAAGCAAATTGAAGTAGTCCTCAGCGTCAATATCGGATTCAGAGAATTCCCCCTTGTCAACCATATTTATCCCGTCCTGTTCTGGATGTGCGCCATGACCGTCGGCTAATCCAGTGGTTAGCCCGCACAACGACGACGATCACGGCCAGGGATACCTTCTCCAGGCTCATCAGGAACTGCAGAGACGCCCAGTTGAGATATCGAGGGAGTCAGAGAGACAGTCTCCCCCCGCACGGCGCCGTGAACGATGGTCGCGCTGTATAGCCACCTGCCTTGCCTTCGCCTCAGCCTAGGAGGCATCATCTTGTGAGTCTTTCCCGCCCTTATGGAACCTAGAAGCCAAGTAAGAGCACTCAGCATCAGTTGTGCTGCTTGGGACAGTAGATGGATCGGAATTTGACGCGATTTGATGGGTCGTTGGCTGTACGGTCGGTGAGGGAGCAAGAGTCCGGAAGTTGCGCAAGCTTTGTTGGGTTGGTGGGATTGGCGTCCCCAGCACCACCTGCGGCTGGCTAATTGGCTCTTCAAATAACCTCCTCGCAGTGTGAAGTTGCCGTAGCCTCTCTGGCGATGTAGGCTGGGTTCCGGATCTCTCATTAGGAGGCGATAGGCCAGCATCTCCGTCGGTTCTTTTCGGGGCAGATCTCTCAGCTGAGGAAGGACGGACGGCCAGGTTCCTCAACGTCAGGACCGCACCTTTGGACCTGGCACGCTTAATCAGGTTAGGGAGGCATATAGACTATACCAGTGATGTCAATTACCTCGGAATTGCGCTGGTCCCGGCATTCCAGGCAGGTTGTAGTTTGATTGGCAGATTTCCTCCTGCTAATGAAGTCACTTGCTGGTTTTATTTGGTTGCAAGACGGGCAATGGCCTCCAAAATCAGATCCAGGGCTCATATTACCCCTAGAATCGGAACCCATCCTCAGTCATACGGTACATCGGGATCGATAATGGAAGAAAGGTTGCTTGGCCAAGCAAACGAACAGATCGCCAGGCAAATTTAGCGATGGTAAACAAAGAAGTAAACAAAGAAGCAGTGACAGATGGTGGCTGGCGGATACCCACTTTTTCTAGAGCCGCCAACCAATCCAGCCTTCTTTAGCGACCGGCAATACAAAATTTGGACCAATCAGATTCCGAGAAACTTATTTATCCCTGTCTGCACCAAACCCTCATTATTGGGAAAACTTATGGATTAATGTAGAGTCAGCCTTCGGCTGAACTAGTCCCAATTAGGAAAGCGCAGAATCCTGCCCTTTCCGCTTTGGCGCGTCTTCGTCGAAGCTAGACACACATAACAACAATACACATCATCACATTTGATAACTTGCTTATTAAATACATTATATTAAGCTGTATCAATGGACTGAATATACATAAGGTTTGACAGCTTTCTTTATTGAAATAATTAGAAATGCTTTGCAACACCTATAGAGATAGTAAGCAGGGGGGGCCTATTAAGTCTGTTATGTTTCCGAGTTCCGATGGAAGTCGTTTGACAACCTGGTAAAAGTTTTTACTTTACTTATGCCGAGACGGGCCGATAAGCTCCCATGGTGTTGATAAAACTAGGACAACTCCAAATGGAAGTCGCCGGCGTTCCATATGTAAAAGACTTGGGAAAATGTCAAGACCGTACTGAAGGCACAGCATCAGAATGGATCATTGAAGGATCAGGCCACAAGTCCGGAGCAGAGGTGCAACCCGTAGCTCGGGCTAACGGCTATGCTAACCGAAATACCCAACAACCAAGACCTTATTGGCCACCTGGTATAATAGAAGGCATACTATTGTAAGAAAATGGATCCGAAACGGGATGACGCCGACAAATCGGCTTATCCTCGGGCCGAGGGCACGTGACCCCACTCCAATAGGGAAGTCCGCCGGGGAGCTCTCGCAGAGGACTCCGCAAGTTGAAGTCTTACGCATAATACAGACCTACCTTCTATCTATGATTTTCACCCTAATCCAGCCATTGAGGCCCACTATCTCACAACTATTAATAAGGTGAGGCTGAACAGCTATGTGCACTTGGTGGGCGGATGGGTCTGGGGTTGAACAGCCCGTGTGCGGGTTTGCGGGGGCTAGTGCCGTAACAGTTGGGCGACACCAGGCAGATTCCTTCGGCTGCCGGGCCGTCGAATCATGTGGCTCTTACATCTCCCTCTATTCAAGTGAGCTAACCGTAAGAGGGGGCCCGTACAGACCACACCATGGGGAAATACCCGGGGTAGCTGTCGTAATAGGCTGGGCTGTTTAGGCTATAAGGGCTGGGTGACTGGGGTAATTGGAGGTCCCCGGTTAATAGGTTAATATACCTTTCACACTTGATATTTAAATCATGCTTAACGCTCCTTGGTGCTCCCGTCAATATTTCGTATTGTATCGCGGCTTCCAGAATCCAATTGTGCAACCTGTATCTCCGAATTCGATTTCGGAGAACAGCCATCTCTCCCAAGGGCTATCAGCAGAAGACTGGCCACTACCTTGCCCCTGTATAGTCTCTTGTCCCACCCCCATCCTGTGCCCCCCACACAGTCAATCGTCTGAGATCGACCACCTCGTTCACGATGCCTTTCGCCGTCGGTACTTCGACTACCAAACAGGACCTCGCCGTAGCTCAGGCCGAGGCCCCTCAGCTCGCCAAGGTCAAATGGTGGACTGATCCTGGAATGCGCGTGCTGTACTTCTACGCCGCTATTCTCTGTGTCTGCTCTGCTACCACTGGTTACGATGGGTAAGCGATCTCTATGCTGGGAGACTAAAGGTTGAGGCTAATAAGAAACCTCAAGCTCCATGTTGAACACTTCTCAGACCATGGACGATTGGCAGGATTACTTTGGTCACCCCACAGGCTCGAAGCTTGGCATTCTCAACTCTATCTACCAGATTGGTAGCATCTCCAGTTTCCCATTCGCGTACGTTGTTCTTGTTTGCGGGGTTGCAATCTGCAGACCCACCAAAACTAACTTTGCTTCGGATAGTCCCTTCATGGCCGATCACTTTGGTCGTAAGATCCCCATCACCGTGGGATGTCTTGTCATGATCCTTGGTGCTTTCCTTTCCGCCTTCACTAATGGCTTTGGCAGTACGTCACCAACTCTGAATACAACGTAATCTACTCTATCGAGCAAGAGCTGCTAAACCCTTGACAGTGTACCTTGGCGGTCGATTCCTCGTGGGTTTCGGAAACTCTTTGGCCCAGTTATCTTGCCCTGTTCTGCTCACAGAGATCTGCCACCCTCAGCACCGTGCGATCGTCACTGCCATCTATAACTGCCTCTGGAATCTTGGTGCCACACGTGAGTAAATAGATAAGAGTTTAGATCTGACACCTGCTGATATAGATCCTATAGTCTGCGCTTTCATCGGTCTTGGTACGATCAACATTAGCAGCGACTGGTCGTGGCGATCCATCACCTTGATCCAAGCCGTACCATCTTTGATTCAGATCTGCTTCATTTGGTGGATTCCTGAATCCCCTCGTTGGCTCATGGCTCACGAACGTCATGAGCAAGCCCTTGGCATCCTCGCAAAGTATCATGCCAACGGCGATGTCAATAATGCAACTGTGCAGTTCGAGTACAACGAAATTAAGGAAACCATCGCCCTTGAGTACCAGGCCCAGAAGAACGGCAGCTACCTTGATTTCCTTCGAACTAGGGGCAACCGTTACCGTCTCATGCTCCTGGTCTCCCTAGGTATCATCTCGCAGTACTCTGGTAACGCTTTGATCAGCAACTATTCCAACATTATCTACGAGGGCGCTGGAATCAAGGACCAAGCCCAAAAGACCGGATTGAACGGCGGAGAGAACATGCTGAAGCTTTTCGTTGCTATTGGCTGCTCGATGGGAATTGATCGCTTCGGTCGTCGCCCACTCTTCCTTACTGCTACTGTCGGTAAGTAGAAATCTCTTTTGCCTAACCCTTGCCTAGGAGAAACGTAGCTAACTTTGGTACGCTTAGGTATGATGTTGTTCTTCTTGGCCTGGACAATTGTTGCCGCTCGCTTCGAAGCCACCGGTGAGACGGAGATTAAGCGCCTTGGATACCCCCAGATTGCCCTCATCTGGCTCTTCGACGTCTGCTACTCCATTGCCTGGTCCGGTCTCATTGTCGCCTACGCTCTTGAAATCTGCCCATTCAGACTCCGTGCTCGTGGCCTCATGATCATGAACTTCTTCATCCAAGTTGCTCTCACCATCGGCAACCAGACCAATCCCATCGCTCTCGAGAACCTTCCCAACAACTGGAACTTTTGGTGCTTCTACACTGTAAGTCCCGCTTCCTTTGTTCGAAGCCGGTCTTCGAAAGGCTAATGAAGAAATAGGTTTGGATCGCGGTCGAGCTCGTCTTCGTTTACTTCTTCTATATCGAAACCAAGGGCCCGACTCTTGAAGAGATCGCGAGAATCTTCGATGGCGATGACGCTAATGTCGCACAAGTCGACTACAAAGACACTGAGAAGCAGTCTGTCATTGAGACCTCGGAACATGTGCGCAATACCGAGCGCAATGATCTTTAATTGCGTTTGCGACAGACCAGGGATTTGGTCGCCACTTGCGTGGTTGAGAGTTGGAACCACCTGATAGTCCATTCCTTTCTTTAGACAAGTCCGCAGTATGACGGGACGCTCTTATAAATACAACACTTTCTGGCAAGCCTTCCACTTGTGACTAAGCTGCGTAAATTGAACGACAATATTTAATACTCCCTGTGATTAACCACAGGGCACGTATAACCATAACGATTCAGATACACACGATTGATAACATAAAGTATTATAATAATTAACTTAGACCGTCTTGAACCTCCTACAGCTTAATGAGATGAGCTTGCCCCTGAGTTAACCGCGAAATCCTAATTAGGCTAGTACGCGACCGCGAAAATCAAATAAAGTTAGTATGTGACCGCTAAATTCTAGTTAGCTAGAGGTTTTAAGCACTAAGTCTAAAATAGGCAAGCGTATTGACCGCGAAACTCAAAAGGACAATTTTGACTGACCCGATGGCTTCATGCATAAGGCACATGACGGGGTGTAGATTTAAATTTAAATGGATACCGTATCGACTCAGCAAATTGGCAAAAGTCGGTGGGTCCTGGCACCCCTGCCCAATGCAAGTTCTGTTCCTCATACAGTTAGTATGTAAATTGGAATACGACGGCAGATATTGCGGGGAAGAGCCTCGCAAGATCACTAACCTATAGTAGATTGGTGTGGTGGAGATTATCAACTTCGCAGGGGTTCCCAGGACCCACAGACTTTTGCCAATTTGCTGAGTCGATACGGTATAATATCCCCTTTTTCTCTTTAACAACCCAGACGCGACGTCAAACCCCTTGAACCTCAAGTTAACCCCGAGCTAAAAACCCCTGACCCATGCCGCACAAGTTCAGCCAGTCATCCAATCATCAGGGGCCCCTACTATATATAATAAGAATATAAGATAAATATAAATTTACTATAAAAAAGACCGATAGTAATTTTACCCTCTTTATATTCCATCTATATATATAACTTACTCTACTCTTCTATAATCCAATAGCGCATATATTTACCCTTTGCAAATATTTAAATAATAATATCCTTCCATCCTCTTTCACTAGCCTATTAAGCTCTATACTTAAGTTAACTATAATAGCTAAGGATATTTTTACGGTTTATAGTTAAATACTCGCAACTCTTATAGCTATGCCCTCTTAATCTTAGTAGCTTAGGGATAGGCCTACTTTAGTGATTTAGTAGCGGCACCGTAGTTAGATCTTAGAAAGTTCTACTATTATAGAAAGAGATTACTTACTAAAGCTTATCGCCTTTGAATCAGTGCATTTTGCGGAAGTACTAGATAATACTCTTAGCCCGATTATAAACTTACAGAGGAGACAAATAAGAATCTAATGCTTATTAAGGACGCAGAGAATGTGGTCTATCTATGCGGGATTTTCTCCTTTAAGAAGTCATAGAGTAGCATAAGAGGATTTATTATCTAGCGGAAATAAGACTTTACTACCCCTATCTTCTAGTTCCGGGGCCGGCATAGATCCTAAACTCCGTTCTACTAATAATCTAATAGTTTCTTATCCTCTTAGTCGCTTCAATAGATAAGTTTAGTCTATAATAGATATAAAGTCTAGTAAAGTATTAGTAATTATTTGCTTATAGTATATAGTAAGTAACTTAAGAGTAATAGGCGCATATTAAGATAATAAAGGTAGCTTCTTACTTATTTAATAAAGGAATTTATACTAATAGGTCGAGGCCTACTCATAGGCATATAGTAGTAATAGCTAAAGCTAGAAAGGGTATGCCCTATTAAGTCTATATATAATCCCACGCTATAGTAGGCAATATCCGCTTTACTAAGTAAATATAATATTAATATTAGAATCGCTATTATTATTATTATATTAATTAAATAAGGTATATACTTTATAGATATACTTCTCGGTGATTATTATTACTAATTAGTAATATAGATAAATATAGACTACTTATTATTAAACTTTTAAAGTAGCCTTAATAAAAATACCTATGAGGCGAGAAGTAGGCTATGCCTTTTTATTACTATAAAAGAGTAGTCGCGTTTATGGGTATTCCTAGTAGCTTTTAATATACCCGACTTACTCCCATCGCAATAAATTAGCTAGCTTTTAGATATAAATAAGATATAAGTATAAAATATAGCTTAACCTAACTAATAGAAAGCAGATTATATAGAACTCGCGATTTATTAGTCGCTTTGCTTTATAATAGCGGATAATATATATTATATAATATGCCTAGATATATACTCTATAAGTTATACTTAGACTATTCTTATATTTAAGACTAAAAAGTTTATATACTCGCGGAGTCTAATTATATATAGTATAAAGATTACTAGCGAGTTACTCCTTTATCTCGGCTACTTATTTTAAGTATAATATAATAGTATATTACTTCTAGGTATTACCCCTAGTAAGTCTATTCTTACTTAAAGTATAAGCTTAGATAAATAGATCTAGGTATATTAATTTAAGGCTATTCCCTAGGTGCTCTATAAAGTAATAGTTACTTTCTAAACTAGCTATATTATTATTAATCTTTAAAAGGTTAATATTAGGTTTTATATTAAATATAAGATTATTATATAGTATTTCTATCTATAAGATAAAGTATTCTAAGAGTTTATAAAATTCTCTTATTATTAGCTTAAGAGTTCTATTAGAGATTATTTTATTATTATTACTCTAGTAAAAGAGGGTTAATAATAGCTCGGTATAGGTAGTATTATGGCTAAAGTCTCGAAGGCTTATTAGCTCTACGACTAGGGATTATAAGCCTAAAACTATATACTTTTCTTAAATTTTATTTAAGGTCTCGAGCTACTTCATCTGTGGCCGCTGCGGAATACTAATAATAAGATATAGATATAGCGGTAATATATACTCTAGAAGTAATATATACTAGATATAGATAATTCCTAATAGTTAGGGGTAATATTACTAGGCGAGTAGAAACTTATAATAGTCTCTAGAGAACCTAAGAACCCTATTAAAGTATATTAATAATATAAAGCCTAGCTACTTATTAATAAATATCTCGATATATAGCGTGAGATATAAGTAGAATAGAAGCTTAAGGAATTTATTAAATACTAGCTTAATAGACTTACCCTCTACTCTAATAAGCGGTTTTAAATAAGGCTCTTTATTAATTCTAATAAGGTCGCTATTATATCTAGGATTATTATTATAATTATCCTTATCGTCTTTAAGCTCTTAGTCCTTTATATTATTATTATTATTATCCCTATTATCCCCCTCTTTATCTTATCTATTACTATATATCCCTTATCTATCCTATAATATATTATATATATCCCTATTAAATCGATTATCGCTAATAAGAATATTATTAAGTATTTCTCTAATATTATTATAATAACTTTAACTTTTTATCCTAAGCTAGAGCCCCTTTAATATATTAAATAAGTCTTAGACTCTATAGTTCTAAATCTATTTTAATTAAGTAAAGAGTATTAAGTTTAGCCTAATATCTATAATTTCTTATTAAGTATAGCTTAATATTTAATATATCTAAAAAGTAAAGGCTAAGGATTTTTTCTTAATTTACTTATATTTAAGCTTATTATTCTTCTTTATTATAAGATTAAAGGGAATTTCTTAAGGGCTTTAAAGTTATAAGCTAAGTAGCTAATAAAGAAAGGTATAGCTAATATAGTAAATTATATCTTCGTAATAATCTATAACTAAGTCTAATACTCTTATAATATATAATATCTTTTATTTATCCTTATATAGGCTTATAAAGTCTATATCGCCTTAAAGGGTTCCTTAACTTAAAGTATAATCTATTATTAGGGATTACCGGTTTAATAGTCTAATTAATACTTATAATATATCTCGCTGAGTATTTTAATATATAAAGGGCTATTAAGTTCTCTCTAACTAGAGACTTATAGCTATAAAAGTTTTATTACTTAAATCCTTATTAATTATATATAGCTAATTTATAGCATCTTAGTATTCCTTTTTTTTATTCTAATATCTACCTTAGATAGATAAATACTTCTAGGGGAAGACTTTAAATTATTACCTATAGCTTTAAGAAAGCTAGCTTTACTTATAACTTCTTCTTTTTCTTCTTTCTCTGCCGACTAGTATTTTAATTAACTTTAAACTATCTATTACCCGCCCTAGAGGGGAAAAAACATTAATATATAATATTTTCGATCTATAGTAATTTAATAAGAGGTATTAGGTATTCCTTTAGTAATTATCCTTTATACCTTAGATTAACTTATTAATAGGTTTTAATATAATAAGCTTAAATTTTTTAAACCTAATATATAATATAGCTATATACTTAATACTTTAGTTTATCTAGCTCTAGCGCGCTAAAATAAGTAATAAGCTTAATTATTAATAATAAATACTATAGTTAATCTAATTAAGACTAATTTTATAATATATAGGGTAATTTTTATATAGTTTCTATTAGCTTATGCTAACTTTCTAGGTCTATATTATAATATCGTATTCGTAAGTATATAGTAATTTTATTTATAATATACCTAAATTAATATAATTAGTATATAAGGAGCTTATATTTAAGAAATAAAATAAATAAATAAATAATACCGGCCGAGCTATATTTTATAATAGAGCTTATTATCATAGCATAGTATAATAATCGAAAAATTAAAGTACTATAATTAAAAATTCTAACTTCTTTCCGATTATAATTACCCCCCCTAATGTCTAATTATAATAAGTCTTACGCGATGTATATTAGCGTTCCTCGCGTATAATATGCCTTAATTAGATAGTAAGGTTTATAGCTAATTATAAATTTAACTCTACCCCCTTGCTAAAATAAACTCTACCCCTAGTAAATATTAACTTTACCCCCCCTCTCGACCTATTAAGTGATTTTCTAAAAATTAATTCTACCCCCCGGCATAAATTAATTCTACCCCCTATGAAGTGGGGCAAAATAAATCAACTCTATTAAAGTTAATT